AAGGTCCTGAAACATACTAAATAATGTGAATAAAAAATACTTCTTCTAGTGTTCGTCAACAGAAAATTCGAAAGCATAAATAAACAAAAAAAAAAAAGAGTTAAACTAAATTGCCAATTCCAACCATATATAGGAGATATAAAACCATCCATTACGTACCAAAGGAAATGAGAAACAAACAACTATATATATTATATAAATGAATAAGCTATTTGAAATAATAATTTTATGCCTTTCTACTCCTTATTTGGCGGCAGATATATTTATCCAATTAAATAAATATGCTAATTGCTTAAGTAATGAACAAGGTTGCAAACTTTCACTAAATTCATAATTGTCTCAAAGTTCTATTTTGCTCAAATAAAGTACCAAAGTAATTGAAATTCTCAAATAAAATCATAATTAGACAGAAATTTTTAGGGGTAACATTGTTAACTCTAAGTGCCTGTTAACTATATATCTATTTTAGAGTTGTTAATAATTCAAAAGTTCAGTGATTATACTTGTTGTGTCGTCAAACACATTTTTTTTGGAAACATGTCATCACTTTTATTATTCAGAACTAATTGAAAATTTTCGTTTTAAGTTGGGTTGGTATTCAGAATTAGCCAAAACCGCATATTTTAAAATTTGGCTAAACATTGAATAAGGTCTCATACTTTCACTAAATTCGCAATTGAGATCCCAAAATTCATTTCGCTTAAATAAGTTTATGAAATGAGGTCCAAATTGGACGAAAATTATTATTTGTTAAATTGGTCATTAATGTCATTAATTATTTTAATTGGTTAAATATCTAAAATGCATGATCCCTATCCTTTCTATTTTATCTTGTAATAACCTTAAAGGTTTCAATTACCTCAAAATGCTTCTTAAACTTATTTGTTTTGATGATGTGGCAATTTTGTAAGACCTATAACTAAAAATTAATTTTTTTATTTTAATTACGCAATATTTATGTGGCCTATTATAAAAAAAGTTGCATTATTGTTTTTTAAAAGGAAAATGATTTTGGAACAACCCTTTTTGTACCACCTTTTGATACAATTTGATATGTTATTTAAATGATTATGTCTTTTCATTCATTTGGAATTCATGATATTAAATGTATCTACTCATTTAATGACAAATAAAAATTATATAAAAATGTAATATAAAAAGGTTATCCATATATCACTATCCTAACAAACAATCAATTTTTCAATGTACTAAACAAATATATAAATATATATACTTCAACAAAAATTTACATGAATCAAGATTTAATATCTAGATGGTATACCTGTAGATTCAACAAATGAATGAAATTGAATAAATTAGGGATGATGATGACCAAATTAAACCAACTAAAGTACAAGCACCAATGGCTCTGATTAATTGCAAGCTTATTTTTTCATAAGTAGATGGTCGATGGATATTTCCTAAAATTAGAATAGAATTCAAATATGATCAATAAAAGAATAACTCATAAGATTTATTAAGTAGCTATATATTAATTAGGTAAAAATAAATTTAAAGATAAAAAAATCTAACAATTTACTAAGAAACAATTTAAAAATGAGGAATCTAACAACAAGTATTGAAAATAAGGTTATTCATCCAAAAAAAATAAATTTTTTTCATTTAACACATACTAAAAATAATATAAATGCGCATAATCATAATTGAAGATCTTAATAAATAGTATACCTACAAGTTCAATGGAAGAAATCGAAGAAAGAGGAAACTGGTAATCCAAATAGTTAGGCCAAGCAAATTGGAGGCAACCGCACGCACTCAACTGCAAGCCAAATTGTGTCCGATAATAAGAGAAGGTGAGACGGTCAAGGAGAAGACCAAACTTTAAAGAAGTGATATTGCTGGATATTTCCTGGAAGATGCTTGGCGATATGGCAGTGAAATGAATATATGTAAAGTGATCCAAAAAGGAACAATTAGTGTCAGGGTATTCCAGTATTTGAATTAAGTAGGCAACTTGAAACCAATTACAAGAGAGGTTGGTGCAATCTTTTGACTAAGGTGCTTAACAAAAGTCCAAAAATTAATTTATTATTATAAAGTGATCAATAATTATATAACATTATAAAATTAAAAAAAAAAGACTTAGTGGAAGACTTAAGAGAAGACTTGAGGATAGCTCGCCTACAATGCCTCGCTTATTTTGCCTTTCCGTGTTCACTTTTAGAAAAGTTTCTTTCTCAACCTTGGATTCCTATCTAATCTTTTTGTTTTTTCTTCATTTTTCCCCGAAGATGCTTGGAGATGTGGCAGTGAATTGAATACATGCAATGTGATCCAAAAGCTACAATTAGTATAAGGGTATTACAGTATTTGAATGAAGGAGGCAAGTTGAAACCAATTACAAGAGGTTTCAATAATTGTACAACACTATAGAATTAAAAGGAAGACTCAGTGGAAGACTTAATAGTGACTTAATGCAAGACTGTACATCAAAAAAAGAGCCGTGATTATTATGACCCTTATTCCCTATAGAGATCCTTATTCCCTTCAAAAGAGCTGGCGTTAAATCTTGGAAAATCACTGCTTATGTTCCCTAAAGAAGCCAAAATGGGACTAGAAAGCTTATTTAATGAAACATCAAAAGCATACAGGTGTATAGGAGACCCAATTGCAAGGAATTTACCCAAAAAGCAAATTGTCATGAAGATCTATGACGTTTAGGTAAGCGCACAATGCAAGCTACGGAAAGATCTTACGGTCAAGTCGATTGGGGGAGAGATTCAAAATTGCTAGATTGACCGAGTATTACAAATCTTGGGGGATGGGTTTGGAGATTAAGTTGGAGCAGAAGTCAAGGGATTGAAGATTGGTATAGTTTGAGAGAAAAAGAAAAATGTACCTTGGTGAAAGAAACTAGAGAGAGAAAGCTTGTAGATGCAACCATCTTTATAAGTGGCACGGGGTAAATTGGAGGTCAATCTGTTGCAAGGGCTAGCAAAGTTAGATTTGGTTCAGTTTTAAAGATTCTTCGATGGGTCTTTGAAGAAAAGTGTGAATTTATCTTCTTCGAATTGATTAGGTTAATGGAGAAAAAAGTAGGGCAATTGTAGGTTAAGGAGTTATGATTTACATAAGGCGAAGGAAAGGAAGAGGAAGGAGA